AAGAGCAATGAATTTTTTTTATCAAAGAAATGATTTTTTTTTTTATTTTTCATTCTCTCTCTTTAAATCGTTTAATTTATTTTAATTATTTATGCTTATTATTTATTTTAAATAAAATTAATTTCTTTGATTACATCGAATTAACAAATTGTTAATTGTTTAATAATTAATTTCTAATAATAATAATCATTGATCTTTGCAATTTTCTTTATATCTCGATTAAAAAACACATATAGATATATTTAATATAATCATAATTCTTTGTTGACATGCAATGATTAATAAATAAATTAATAATAAATAAATCTAAAAAAATGCATTATAATAAATACCATTCTTTATATCAGCGTTGAATAATTGATATATATAAAAATATTAAATTATATTTCTATAGACTATTGCTCCAGGACTTGTGATGACAAATATGACAAACGAGTTAATTAAAGAAAGAGAAATGCAAAATATTCGCACAAATTCATTAGAAGCTATAGATATTGCTGAAGCAGTAATTTATGTGCTAGAAACACCGGAAAGAGTGGAAGTAAGTGAAAATAAGATACATGAAATTCTTATAAAAATACTTATCTCATGTAGATTATCAACTATTATAATTCACAATATATTTTTCGATTTTATATATATATAGAGAAAAAAGATATTACACTGTTATAATTTTAAAATATATGATCAAAATTTTACTTATATACAAATTTTACACTTAATACTGACCATATATCTAAATAATATTTACAGATTCCACAAATTACTTTACTACCGCATAAGACTCCATTTATTCTTTCAAATAAAAAAGTATGTAATATAAGTGTATATCTCTTTTAAATTTCTTTTAAGTTTTCATTAGATAATTGATTTTTAAATTTGATTTTATTTTATCTAGGAAGTATTATAAATTATAGACCAGAATTCAGAGGATAAAAGTGGATAAAAATGATATGAATAGCCACGTCGAAAAGAAAAATTAATTCAATACGAAAAAATCGATATATTATTATTAATTAATTGTATTGAAAAAAATATATAATTGTTACAATTTGTATATATATAATATATATAATAATTGTATAGTTGTGAATTCAATCTATTTCAACAAATAAATTTATTAATTAAATTGTACTAAAAAAGATATAGTATAATACTGTAATTAATAAATAAAATTACATTTTAGATATTAAAAATTTCTTGGATTATTTAAAATTCTTTATCCTTGGTAAAAATATTTCCATTTATGTATCACAAATATATTAACATTTTGTATAATATAATATATTAGCCCATTTACGTGATACAAATAAAACCATGTGACCAAAATCTAGGGAAATCAAATCGAATTCATATTTTATTATTTTACTAGATATAGAAAGTTAATATAAATTACACAATAACAAATAATTAATACATTTTTGAAATAAAAGTTTATAAATTAACAATTTTTATATATTTTAATTTCATTATTGAAGAAATTTTCCAATGATTAATTTATGAATATGTGTAATAATGAAATAAAGATATTAATAATTTTGTTTGAAACTTTTTCAGAATTTTTAAAAACACAGAATGTTAGAAAATTTAGATTTAGATAAAATATATAATTTGGCTTTAATAAAAAATAAAAATAATTTAATTTTCATATTATTAATAAAATCCATTAATATTTAATAAATATATTATACAATTATATATAATTAATTATAATATTTTCATATATTTATTATTCTTTTTGATAAAATAAAATCAGACCGATTAGTTATATTGTTTATCCAATTATATCAATTTTTTGAACATAATAAATGTGATCTAATGTAATCTAGATAAAATCGTTGAATTAATTTCAATCCTCGTGTGAAAGCCATGAATTGTAATTATAATATTTTAATTTTTAATTAATCGCGCAAGTATATTCAGTGAATTTATTCAATTGGCTCAATTGAGTTTTTAAAATTCTCACGCAATACCACGAAGCGAAATCTTGATGATTAATAAAATGATTTTAAATACATACAAATTATATGTTTTTTGTTTTCATCTAGATCGATGTTTACAGAAATATTTTTCATGTGTCGCGTCTTAGATCTATCAATGTTAAATAAATAATACATTTTCTCGTTTCTTGTACACCTCATTTACCTTTTCTCTCATGTATAAATTTGTATATAGAATGAGATCTATCTAGATCTACGATATCTTTTCTTTACTAACATTTAAGTCAAGTTAAGAATTGTGTATGTTTTTTTTTTTTTATAAATTTCAATAAAAATTTCAAAATACTCGATCGAAATTGAAAAAAAAAATTAATTAATTTGACGGAGAAATTGCGATTAAAAGAATTTTTCATTTAATCCTTTCTATTAGCTATTTTCACGAATTGGAATTACGGTAAAAATAGGAATCGTTTAACTGTTCAAATTGAATTCCAACGAGTTTAAAATTTGCAATACGTTGTCATATCTAAATTGATACACTTTAATAAAGAAAATATTATAATTAATTTTGATAAATAATATAAACAACTATAACATAAGAGAAAATTTGAATTGATAATTTATTAATATAATAAAATAGATTTCGTCAATTGTTTGAAAAAAAAAGAATAGACAATTTAAATTCTCTAAATTTCCCTATAAATCTACAAAGCAATTTTCTTAATAGATGCCAGATAAAAAAAGTCCATTATCTCAATATAAATACAAAACTAATTTAGTTTTTACAATAATAATTTATTATTTTAAATATAAAACATCATTTGAAAAACAAAGAGTACACGTGTATGTATTAACGAATCCTTTTTATTTATGTAGATTTTATTCATATATATTTTTTACTATTCTATTTAAAAATCATGAAATCTTTTTTATGCGATCAAATCAACGTGCATCTCTGATGCATATATGTAAATATATTCACATTAATAAAACATAAGATTAAGTAAAAAAAAAAAAAAATTCAAAAAATTACAAAATATTTTAAAATAATTATAAAATAAAAAATTAAACATTAAAAATATCTTAGAAATATAATTATAACTCTAAATATTTCTATAATCATAATAATTTTAATTTCAAAAAAATATAAATATAAATAATATCTATGTGTTAATTATAAAAAAAAATGATATTCTTTATTATCGAGATTATGAGTAGTTCATAAAAATGTATCCGATAATTAATGTATGATATTTATATTAATAACTACGTAAATTATGTGATCAAAGTATCATGAGGATATAATTTAATTTAACATTTAAAATATCTCATTTTTTTTGTCTGAGATAATTTTTCACTAACGCGAGACAAATATCGATTTCAAAATATAAAAACAAAGTCTTTGAAATTTCTTGAGATAATTATAATTTTGCGAAATTATTGTTATTGAATGAAAGTTAGTATTAACCGCATAATAGCTGAGCGAGAACTTTATAAGTTTCTCAATCTAGATCAAACAAAAAAGTTTCGCGCTATAATCGCCGAATGCAGTGGCCGATTCGAAGGAACAGGAATAAACTTATTCAGAAAGCTGCAGTTCGTACTTAATATTCTAACAAGATACCACTTCGAAATGAATTTAAATGGTTTGCATCAATTCCATCAATGGTTTGCATCACTTGAAAGTTATTCCATAGAATATGAAAACTTACGAATTTATTCGTCAAATCTTTAATGTTTAAATTTAAGATATAATTCTTTCAGAAAAAAATTCTTTCATTTTATAGTATCGTATTAAAATTGATGCATAAATTTTTTTATGCAATTTTTTTATTTAATTGAATATATAAGATAATCTGTTTAAATTAAACTCACTTCTTAAATGAAAATAATTTTCTATAATAATTCAATTTTTTAAATATTTGTATCTTGTATCTAATTTGTATATTGTATCTAATTTAATACTTTAATCAATATTCTATTTTTATCAAATCCTAGTATTTAGTATACTTTATCCTAATATACTTTAAGAAGTTTTCTCATCTTAAATCTTAAAAAGTTTATTTTTCTATATCTATTTATTTTTCTCATCAAAATTAAGTAATAAAATGAAATAGAAATGTTAACAAGAAATTCATCAAGCGGAAATAATTTTTTCATGTTGTAATTCATAATACCGCCTTGGATATTTTATTTCCATTCGAGTCACAATTGATCATGGACAAAATGTAAAAACTCTTGTCGAGGTTGCACAAACGCACCACTTAAGCGTGAATTACACAAATCGCAGTCTCATTTAGACTGGTGAATAAGAAAGTGTTCAGGATTGTGCTCTGAGGTGAGTTTACCTTTGTATTTGTATTTATTTATTACATTATTGTATCTCACTATTGTATCAATATATGTGAAACATGTTCGGAGAATCAATTCTAAAATTCAAAAAAAATACAAAAGTTGATACACAAAAATATCATTTGAAGCTTATTTATTAAGTTATAAACAATTTAAGTTTGTATTAGATGAATTGAAATAGTTCTATTTCTATCATATCATTCTATCATTCTATCTCCATCTCATTTTATTAATTGCTATAAATTGTATTCATTATAAATATTCATACTATAAATTGCTTATAAATTAATAAATTATCTTGAAATAATATTTTTATATATTTTTTATAATTGACTCTTTAAAAATGTTCCATGAATACATACATATATTTAGAATTATAACATATATAGAATTAGAATATATATTTATATTTTCTAAGTTTGTAAGCGTATACGTGTTCAACATAGTATACGCATGTGCATATATAATAACATGAATTATAATTTTGTGAAAATTGAATATTCTGAATAAGTAAAACGTTTCCTTAATGGAGTATTTAATAATTGCATATATATATATATATATAATATTCATAAATAAAATGTATTAAAAATAAATTTAAATTTTTTTATATTATCTCTATTTATAATTATAATATGGCGGCAAAATATGCACATGTTTTGAAATATCTTTGATAAAATTATACAAAAAAAATACTATTATTTTCACTCTTTTTTTGCGAGAAATTAATTACCTACTTCCTTAATCATTATTCCGCATATTTATTTACAAAGCATCTATTTTATAGTATTTACTATGGTATTTAAAACACTATAATAGTAATGCATTGCGTATATTATATATAATACAATATATAATAATATAATATATTATTAAAGAAAATGAAAACTATTTATGCTATACAAAAATTATTAAAATAAACAAAATAAACTACTATTATTCATTATTATTAAATTATTAAATTGTCTATTATCATAAAATTTACCTAAGAAGCTATATAATTCGATGTTCTCTGCCACAATAATATGATGTATTGTATAAGTATTTATTATGACAATTTTATATTTCACTTTAAGTTTAAAAATTTCAGTAATAAATGATATTAACTTTTAACTTTAACTAATTTTATTTATTATTTTTCATTACTTTCGTTAATATAATACGGAATAATACGAAATAATATAAATATATACTACGTGTAATGTTAATAAGTACACAAAATTTTTTGTACTATGCGATTATTGCAATAACTCTCGAATTTAATCGATAAAAGACCAATATAATCGATTATAAACAGAGTGAAATTAGTCAGATTTCCACGACTCAACATTTTTTCACGATTAGTGAGATTCAGATTATTATTTATATTATAGTGCTATTTAACAAAAATTTTATATATTAAAAATGTTATTCAAAACAAATTTGCATTATTTACATTAAAAAACATTATATACATTAAAAAAATTACGAAACGTAAAGTGATCTATAGAAAGCAACACTTTCAAACTTGGTTTATGTGTTTATTTCAAATAAATCACTGTCTAGTAAAAATGTATTTTATGCTCATTTTACATTTGTAAGTAACTTTTTTTCACCTTTCACGAAAGTAAAAGTACAATACTGTATATTATATCTATGACATAACCACATTTTTAAATAAATAATGTAATTCATTATTATTTGTTCGTATATATTATAT